TGGTCCTGGTGTTATTACCAGAGCACTCATGAAAATCTGCAATACAAAAGTGGTGAGTGACTTAAAAATATAGTAATGTTTTCTAAATTGAATAGAAATAAAGATTACATCAAATTCATTGTTTTTTTAACTGTTATATACAATTAGGGGTTTTTCTTTTATTAGTATGAGTTAATATTCAAGTATATGAGTTTTCATTAAGTAGGTTATTTTAATAGCAGATTCTGAATTTATTATATTCTAATGTAGATAGGTATATATTATCATTTTAGATATTTAACCATAAATGAACTAGAAATACTTATCTAAATTAAATATTTAGTTAACTACCAATTCATTTATTAACATTTGCATGTTAATTTTGTATTGGCTCATTTTCAATTTATTAGATTTAAGTTAATCAGGCATGTACACAAGGGCGGGTTTTAGGGATTCAAACCCCTCCCGAAATTCAGGAAAATGATATTAAATATGTTTTTATATAGCAAAATTGATATACAGATTATATTATAATGAAAATGTACAACCTAAAACCTCTCCCAAAATATTTTTTTGTGTACGCGCCTGGATTTAACCAAAGTATCTCAAAATATAATATTTTAATTTGTTTCGTTTAATTGTCCTTTTAATTTACGCTTGCAAATATATATATATTTCACACATTAACGTTTAAACCTGATTTTATTTTAAATTAAATGTATATTTTTAATATTTTTTATGTAAAAATCATTTCCATATTTTTATTCATTTATATATTTATGTCCATCAATAATTGTTAATTAGTTTTTTTATACTCTTATTGCTAATTTCTTACAAGTATGTTTATCAAAAATTTCTAAATTATTAATTAGTATTCGAATGATATATTATATGAAAGACTACAAGAAAAAACGATAATAGTCAGTATTCCTTAACTGTTAAATTTGTATAGTTTTAAAATTTCAGAACTCAAAAAACTATGTGATAAAGTACGAAATAATTTAAAAAGATGTATTATGATAATACAACTAATTTTTGATAAAATTAATATAAAAAAAATTTTAAAACAAATAACTAATGACAATGATATCATATGATTATCAGATTTTTCTTTTTTTTTTATATTTAATTGTTATAATATGTTTATCAACAATTGATAATTTATAAATTTATATAATAAACAGACTAAAATTGTACTAACATCTCAAGATTATTTTTTTAGAGATTTGAAGATTTTAAATCTAAATTTATTGTAGTTCAAAAATTATACAGAAAATTAAATAACACGTAGTTACGAGACATGGTGTTCCATGCCGTTTAATTCTCAAATGTTCATAAATGATAGAACAAACGACCAGAATAGTGCTTTAGATGAAAACTAGATCTCAGATAAGATATCATCAGAGCCTTATTTATTATTATTATCTTAAGAATTTTTAGAGCCTGGGGAAAATAGACTTAGGGGCTCTTCAATCATCACAATAATATACGACTATGATAAAAAAATACACACCAAGTTTGCATAATGTTGGTAAATATAGTTTCCCAAACTTCAACTAATCAAAATCATTTAAATGCATCGATGCAATGAATTACATTTTTAATAACTTCTCAACATTTTACTAGTTACCACATTTAATACAAATTTAATATATTTTTAGAGAATTTATAAACAGTCATGAAAAATAATAACTTAGATATTGTTACGCTGATACTTGTAATAACATATTTCAACGTGAATTTGGAAAAAAATATGTCCACACTCTGTCCAAACATCTCCACACTTCGACAATAACCATAACAAATTACAATTATAACTATTTAAAAATTAAAATAACCGAAAATATAGCTTGTATAATAGCCCTTAAATGAATTAAGTTTATTAAATTTCATAAAGAAAAATAGTTTGGAAATAATACATAAATATTAATAATCTTAAATGAGTAACGCCGAATATTTCTAACAAATCTGGACTTAAAGAGGACCCCCTTTAAATTTTTCTTGACTGAAGCCTAGAACAAGATGGTCCCATTGGCGCCTCTTTCCCTGGCGATTGTCCTGGGTATTACTGGTATGATTATTGAACCGCATCATACCAAAAAGTTAGTTAAAATAAAAATTATATCTGTATAATATTGTGTATTTATTATTTGCATTACAATTACAATAATTGTATGAAAATATCAAATACGGAATAAAACAAATGTAACTTTTATTCTAAGTTAAAATTTCAAAAATACAAAGTTAGCTATTGCTCATTACCGAGTTTAGTTATTTTATATTAATTATACTGTATCTGCTACATAGGTAATTCATAAAAAGTATTTGAATCCATATTTAAGTATTTTAAAGTTATTCAACTGAGTATAATTCATAGTTTATAATATGTAATAACAAAATATTTTTAACCTCAACTAGCAAGAACTCAAATATCACTTAAATTATTTTCTTAAAAAAACCGCTAAATATTCCTTAATATATACCTATATATTATTTTTAATTATTTATAAAATACCATTTTCAAAAAAAAAAACCTCAATAGATTAGAAAATTGTTGAATAAAAATAAAACCAATTATTTTAATTATTATTATAATATATATATATATTTATTATTAAAAATTGAATAAATCTTGATTTTTATAGATAACTAACTTCAACAAACAAAATTGTAATGGATTTACGGTTTATGGACAGGAAGCATTTTGCCCAATTGCGTGGACAGATTGGGCACTATATTTTAATTCAACTACTAGTGCTAAGGTAATGAATTCACTTGAGAACAGCATGGGAATTCATGTATGGAATTTACATAGTAAACATACACCTATTATAGTTGGATCAAAACAACCATATGGTTTAGTTGCTCAAAAGTATTGTTCAAGTATTTTTTCTTTGGCCGAAGATTTTTTTTAAAAAATCTAAACCATATCCTTTTTTGTTACACATTATATTCGTATACAGTGCTTAATATTATTAAAGTACCTAATTAATAAATACGTGATAACACTACGAGAAGTAACCTATTTAATGCACAATCAAATTGCATATTTTATAGAAATACAATGTATGTAGAAAACTGTTACGCTTATTTGGGAGAGAAAATCAGCAGAACTACTAATGAGGTAAAATAATGAAATAACTACTTTATTTAAAGTCTTTAGAAATGTAGACTTTATAAAGTGTAATTTTTTTCATTCTGTACAACCTATGCCATAAGATCAAATAATTCAATCATTTATAAATAAATCAAAGATTCTGGTTTCTCAGTCCTTTTTAACCCAAGGAAGTAAGTTATGTTACTTTTAACGCATCCAGTCAACGTTAAAATGTTATGATGTTATGCCCTCAAACGTTTGAAGTCATTAAACTCTTTTGAACATATTTTAAAATATATTTTTATAAATTATTTTAAATAAAATAAATTCTTTTAAACTCTATTAAAATAAAATGTATTTTTTTATTTACCCTGTTCGACTTATTCTCTGTTACTTGCGTACATACTCTATACTATATTTATGCTATAAATACATAGTTTGAATTAAGTAGAGGATATATCGCAATTAATCAATATGATATATCTTATATCTCTATTGCATATTAGGAACATACCATAACGATCAGTGCCAGCGCTAGGTATTGTGGAGCCCTGAACATAGGTATTAGCCTTTAGGTTCCCAGAGAAGGGCGAAATTCTAGCTTTTTTAAAATCAGGATTTTTTAAAAAAAATACTGTTTTTCTTCAAATTTTAAACAATAACTATAGAGAAAATAAATATTTATATTATTATTTATTGTAGGAATCCTATTCGACGGATATCGTCAAAATATTACGCTTTCGTCGTAAAGATAACAATTTACTTTATAATTTGTATTATGGCTAAATTTAGATATCATTTTCCAAATAACTGATGATAGGCATAATATAGATTTATAATTTGTCGATATAAAATTTCGAAGTGTCTCACGGTATTAAGATGATAAAAATCACGGGGCCCTTTAACAAGCGCGGGGCCCTGGACAAATGTCCCATTTGTCCTTCCCTAGCGCCGGCATTGATAACGATTTAAAACTTACTGTTAAGCAAGCCGATAAAATTAGTAGGTTATGTTCCATGGGCGTCCCCAGACATTTTTCTTGGGGGTGGGGGCAAAATTAATTTAAAAAATAAATGAAAATTTTTTATACATTTTATTTATAATAAATTATTATATTTTGTCATTATTAAAATTATGAATTAAAACATTACTGACATTTATGTATAATGTACAATTAAAACATCACTCAAAAAATACATTAAGATAAAATAGTCCGATTATTATTAATGATAGTTTTCATAGATAGCCGTCAGCCGTGCGTTGACATAATATGTTATGGAAACTTAGTAGACCTATTTTTTAGAAACTAATTTATCATTTGGAATTTTACCAATTTCTGTGGAAATAACATTATTCCAGGGGGGGCAAGTGCCCTGTCTTTCTCCCCCCCTGGGGACGCCCATGTTATGTTTTTTACTTCCTCAAACATACAAATCAGGGTCAACGCTAGAAATATTGACGCCTCGGGCGGAACCATGTTTTGGCGCCCTTAACCCTCCACCTCCACGACCCACTTAGATGGAGCAGTAGTAAAATTAATTTTTTTAGTGAGTTTAAATAAAATAAGTATATATTTAGTACTATAATTTAGTATTATATCAGTGCATTTTTTGGACAGGTTTTTTTTTGGTTGCAAGAATATTCTAATTATTAAATATAATAGTTCTAATTTTGAGCTTGGCGTTTTCTTAATTTTTAAACTTTTTTTTAGAGAATATATTATTTCATGCCACCACTGCCTATAATATAGGAATACAGTGTTTCACTAATTACTTATTTATTAACACAACCAAAGAACGGAATTCATTGTAAATAACTAATAAGAAACCAAAATATTATGTACAAATGAACTAAACAATAAATATGAATATTGATTATCTGTTGACTGTAACTTGTTATTTTATACATTTGACATTAGGTACACAGCAGAACGTAGTGAGATCTCGTCAAAAACAATTAATTGTGAGTGTGTATTAGGCAATTGTATCTTTTTGATTTACGCCACACTGCGGTATTTTCGCCATAAGGTCCGAACGTTTTTTACGTAATCGTCCAGTTATATGCATTTATTTATAAATGGATAAATATTTTATGAAAATAATTATTACGAACACCTGTATTATGTTTTATTTACACACACAAATGCGGTGATATTCAGTATGATTTCATGCATTATTTTTATATCATAACTAGCGGTATAGATGCAGTATTGAAGTAGAACTGTTATATTCTTACTTTCTGTAGATTATTAATGCACGATAAAAATAATTTTCAGTTTGACGCCCCATTCTTGCTGGCATCCTGGGCAATCGCCCTGGTCACCCATAGCTTTCGACAGCCCTAATACAAATCATAGATATCTATATATTATCTATATACTATCTATATACACAGTGTCTCATATTTCTGTTAGTATTAGGTACAGTATTTATTTTTAGAGCTGATCAAATCATTGCCCGTCACATTTTAAACATTAATGTGTATTGGCTGGGACGTGCTGAGAAATTTTTTCCTGGGGAGGTGTTCAATATTTTTCCTACCAAGTAGTTCAAATGTATTTACTTCACAAGATATTAATTTTATCGTAATAGATAGATCGACAATGGATTATATAAATAACTCTGGCAAATTTTTATAATACTTAAATTATATAAATATATTAAGCGATACATTTTTCTAAATTCGTTAAGATTTCGGAGGGGGGAAAACCCAAATTCCCCCTTTAAGCACACCCCTGGGTATCGAATATTCCGATAAATTAGTGTTTTAAATTTACATAATTAGAATCTTTGATACAACTTACAAATGAATCGGACTTGAATCAAAATTTAATTATTCTTCACTACAATAAATTTGAAAAATAAGAAACTTAATATTACTTTAAGAAGCAAATTGTTGTTCTGCTTAATAAAATGTCATATCGGGAAATACAAGGCAAAAATAGTATAGGAATAATAACTTTAGAATAAAAATCAGAAAATGTGTGTAAAGCAAACTATTAAATAATGAATAAAAAAATAATAAATAACAGCAAGGGCGATACAGCCATACGGGCAGTCATCATTTGTTTTCAAATGCTCACCGCCCACCGACGTTTATATTACGTACGTCCTAATCAACCTCTGAAACGCCAGTCTGCAGTGCGACGTGATCGCGCGTCGGAGACGACCGATCTGAGTGAATAATAACATCACCTCCAAAGTGTCAGCAGTTTTTTTCATACCTAATTATGATCTCGTTACATTTTCCGTCCAGTGGTGAGACAGAAAGTATACCATCCAGGAAGTTTTTTCAATGAAAAATCAATTTCTCGGGCTCAACAAAGTATTGTAAATCTCAAACTCGGACTACGACCCGGAAACGCGAACACTGTGATAAAAATAAATTCAAACCGTCAGGTATAACTAATTATTTATCATACAAATAACCTGCTAGCGAATTAATTTTGTTTTTAATATCGAATTAAATTAAATGCTGATATAATGATGACGCGATAAATGTTTTTTAATATTTAAACAATAGAAAAATAAAATAAAAAGAGACGGAAGATAACCACATTTTAAGATGATTTATATTGGTAATTGTAATGGTTTTTATTTAAAATCATAAAAATATATTATCCGCATAATATTATTTTTATAGAAATCATTGAATTTTTTTCTGTTTTGATACCACAGTGGCGTATCAGAAAAACAAAATTGTCACTTTATTTATTATTATATATTTTTTATTAATTGATATTTAATTTTTGAATAATTTAAGAAATCCACCTAATTGTTATTTATTTTTATAAAAATATGAAAGGATAGATCAATCATTGAATTCAAAAAGCAATTCTGAGTGGATATTAATGTAAAAATATACTAAAAAAACTCCATAATAGTAATGGCATATTTCAAACTTGAAACTTTTGTAAATAAAAACAAAGTAAATCTTCTGTACCTTGACACTTAATAACATTTCTTGGATTTGCAAGTAGATTAATTTTTTATAGATTTAAAATTATATGCCAGACTAATCAAAAACTAATTTATCTATTGCTAAAAAAATCGATTAGTTCAACACAAAAAAATGTGTTGGTATAATTTAAATAAAGCATTTATATGAGACATTTTTAATATAATATTTAATTGATCAAAACGAATCTTATCGGGAAGGAATAAAAACAAATGTCAGTAAACCATTGAAAACACAAAAATACTCGTAATAATGTTTACAATATTTTTGTGAAAAGCGTTATCTTTAAAAATATTTTTTAAAGTACCTACATAATAACATTTAAAACTGATTATTTATAGCAGGATTAGTGAACCAAGGTTGGTGCGTTAACCAAGTTTAAATGGCATGCAAAAAAATTGAAATCATTAAAAATATTGCACAGATAAAATTATACTAATTTTACAATTTTAGTTATAAGAAATTCGAAGAAAACAAATTATATACATTTTATAAATTATTATATTCCATATACTTTTAATTTTGTCGTTAACTTATGCTTATGAAAGTTTATTCTCCATAACGAATTTAATTAAATCGAAAGAAAGAAATGTTTAAGCAGATTGCAACAATTGCTGCTTATGTTTCACTAAGACAGAAAAAGTACATACCTAACATCAAGACTATCCGCTTAAAAACAGTGTAAAAATTAAATATGTAACCAGTGCCGGAATAAGAGCCGATACCGCCCTGGAGCAAATAATGTTTGCCCCCCTCCCCCTCAAAGAAATAAGGTTTAAGTGAGACCAAAAAAAATAAATAAATCTTGATTTCCATGCATAAATTAAAAAATAAAATACTACTTATAAATATATATTATAAAATATAGGTACCTAATATAATAATAAATCTACTTAAACTATGAAGTATAAATAGGTATATTTTAAATGTCATAGAATAGTTTTACAAAGAATTATTTTAAACTACTGGCAAATACTGACAAAATAAAATTATAATATTAATAAATTGGTTCAAAATATACAGATAATAATTAAAGTAATTTTTAATATTAACGCCAATTAAAAAAAACTATAACCATATAACTATTTATATATTATAATTTTTTTTTTTTTTTTAATTATATTTTTTATGGATTTAATAGTTACAAGTTTTATTTTTTTTATGTTAGTACTTATCACTTCATTTCCTCAACCAAATTAGATTCTATACATAAAATTGATAAATTGGATATTTTTTCTTGTATTAATGACGATTTTAAATAATTTTTTTGAGGCTATTTTATTTATGCCACCCCACTAAATTTGCCGCCTTGGAGCAAATGCTTCTTTTCCACCTAGGTTAATCCGGCCCTATATGCAACACCAAATTATGATAACCGGGATTCGGGACACTTTCTGCAATGAATTTTTAAAAACTTACCGTCTTACCGCTTAATGTCTAGATTGAACATAACGCAATATAATTAATTACACTCAAGAGTGCATTGAACACATATTGGGCATGAATAAATAAATGTCAAAATTCCAATTAGTAAAATGTATATAAATAGAGATAATGATAATAACGGGTGTTATAAACTTGTTCGGATAGCGCCAATAATTTTATCAACAATAAACTGCGTCAGGTTGATAACAATAACATTACTTACCGTCACTGTTATCAACATTTAAAGTCATACACTACTTATACATCATAAACTTCAATAATATTACTATTAAAGCTTGGCATATGTACAAAATGAAACTACATACAATTGTATTAACTCCTATTATAGATTAGAAATTAGTTTTAAGACAACTTTGATTAGGATCTCGTTAACATGTACTTATACAGTAATATGATTTATAATATTTCAGCATGAAATAATAATGCATTTATCGCAGTTGGAAAAATCAAGTACGTATTACACAGAACCTTTTTTAACTTTATGATATTAGTTAAGTTATAATTTATCTTTAAAAAATTCATAACTTTGTAATTATCTTAGTGAATTATCAAGTTTATAAGTGTTGTAAATGAAAAATAAAATGTTTTATTTTTTGTGGAAATGTATATTACAGTTAATTTATGTAAATAATTTAAATATAATATTTTTAATACAATAAAAATTATATCCCTATTTGTATTATATCCCCTTGATTAAAATTTGAAAAGAACATAACGTTGACTGCATCAAAAAAAATATCGAATTTGTGAAATTTCATTACCCATTATTTTTGATTAAATTATTTTTCATTTATTTAGTTTGTTTTTTCTCTTAGTATTATTTGTTTTGTACTTGAAAATAACGTATGTTATAATTTTTCTATATAATTACTAGTGTTTCTACAAGATATTTATTATATGCATTGTAGGCCTTTTCTAATGCTTATATATTACACATATCAATTTGGAATTTTGTCCTAATTTATGTGATAATTTTTTCCTTATTTAATGTATAATAAAATAATTGATATTATTTACAGTTTAATAATAAATATAACAATTCTATATAATTTTACAATTTGATATATTTATTTATTACCATCTATGAATTTGAATAACCCTGTTCTAAAGTATATTCTTATTTGAACCTAAAGCTTGGCAAACACTTATATCAATAAAAAAACAAATATCTAAAAATTAAAGGATCTAGGTATAAAAAAATCTTACAATAATAAAAATTTTATTTTATTTTAGGTTTGAATTTATTACTTACCATTCAAATCCAAAGAAAACTGGAAGATCGAATACTAATTTTAATTTATGAAAATGATAGTTTTACATTTCAATAATATTGTTAAATTTAATTTTATCTGCTCTCTACTAGTTAGAATAAATATTTGTACTTATAAGTTTCATAAGAGTTAAAAACTTTGGAATTCAAATAAAATGTTTTGTCGGCCATATCTTAAAACCATACATATTCGTATCATATGTGTACTAATTATATCTCTATTGTTTTTATATAATATTTATTTTTTTAGTAGTATTAGTGAATACTTAAGTGCATCCCAAAAACCATTAATTTCTTGTTACTTCGAGGATAAACTCCCTAATTCTTTACTTGAATTAAATCCACTCGAGGTAGACAGAAACAGTATTTTTTTCATTGAAACATCGTGTAAACATAAAAATGGGATCAATTTAAACTTAAGGCAAGGCTGTGCTATAGAGTCTGCTGCTAAATTAAATCCAAATTTAAAAGTATTTGTTTTATTTGTTTCTCCTACTTTTATAAACAATAAATCAGATGTAATTAAACGATTGGATATGTATTCAAATGTAAATTTTAGACATATAAATTTTGTGAATTATTCCTTAAAAACTCCATTACAAGACTTTGTAACTTCGAACACCATATTCACTAGTCATTGGCCAGTTTCTCATACAAGTGATTTGCTGAGGTTTCTGACATTATGGAAATTCGGAGGAACTTATATGGATTTAGATGTAGTTCTAATGAAGTAATAACTAATCACATTAAAACAATTGTCACATTTGACAAATCAAAATGAATAATAATTTGTAAATTATTTACTGTTTAGGTCTTTAGAAGGCATCACGAATTTCGCCAGTGTCGAATCAAATACATCAGTTGCATCATTAATCTTAAATTTTGGTTATGATGACATTGGAAAAACTATTGCTAACATTGCAGTTAATGATTTTGCTAAAAATTATCAAGGTAATAATTGGGGATATAATGGTCCTGGTGTTATTACCAGAGCACTCATGAAAATCTGCAATACAA